GTGTGTGTGTGTGTGTGTGTGTGTGTGTGTGTGTGTGTGTGTGTGTGATATGTATCTAGGAGTGTTTATGTGTGTTATACACACGTTACAGTGACGTGTGTGTTTGTGTGTGTGTCTTATGCGTAAACTATGGCTGCTTTGTTAGACTCAGACTTGACTTAGAGTTGAAACGTCAGTAATAGTTTGAAAATATCACATGAACATTTTACACCAATGGTGCGGCGAAACAAATCTTGTTTTGTGTCATATGTCGTGAAAGAATAAAAATACTTTGTGGCACAGAAAATATAAAAGGCCTACACAAATACACGTAGGCCTAAGAACATTTTACGCAGCACTCAGAAAAATACTGGCTTAAGGTATAGGTAGTTAAAATGTATTATATTGTATTTCATGTATTTTACAATAATTCCTTTATTTGGTTTATTTGAAATAACACTTTAGTATTGTTTAATTAATCCAATTACAGCTTTGCCCTTCAATAATTGACTTTTTCCGGTTTTACGCATAATATTTCGGGGCCTAATCATGCACATATACATCATAACGTACTCATATTACAACAACTTAGAGACAAAATACTTAGATAATCTAATATGTCAATGCAACGTTCCCATACCGGTGTCTTGACTTGGCATTGCAAGTCTAACCAGTAAAATAGAACTACACAGGTGCCATTAAAAAGCCTCACTCTACCTGCACTGCATGCAAAACAAAACCACAGTATAGGACCACACCTATGATGAACTGCGATTACCTTTAGTTGTCTTTGCTGGTCTCTCCTTATTATGCTCTTCCGTCTCGTCAGCTGAAGAGACTTCTGCATCCGAGGACTCGCGTGGCTCCTCGGTCCCTGGTGCAGCGTGAGCCTGCAGGTCGGCGTTTCCCGAGGACACGGACTCCTCGGTGTTCCTCCCTTCCTGCGTCGTGGCTGGAGTAGTTGGTGGTGTGTGGAAGCGAGCAGGAGCAATGGGGTGTAGGCCAAAATGAGAATGGGAAGGGTTCGGCTGGGGGCTGTTGGTGTTATAAAGTTTATGAGAATGTGCGTGCGTCTGAGACAAGCGGAAGTAGCCCGGCACAGGCACTGAGCCCCCGCCGCCACCATCGGTAACTGTACAAGAACTCGAGCCTAGGCCCGCTGCTGTTAACCTCGAATATGTAAGATCTTCGGCGGTTGAGGCTTTAGGGCACTTCGGCTGCTCATACAGGCAGTAGGTGCTCTCCTCCTTAATATTCTGCGGGAACGAGCAGGGTGCGACCTGGGGACCCACCGGGTGCTCCTGGTCCATTCGACATGACCTCTGCGCGTCCATCCACATTTCCATGCTGGACATGTACGCACTAGAGGTGGAGACCATGTTTTGGGGACCCATCTCGCAGCGCTTCCCCATACCTGGGAAGTATCCATAGCTGTGTAGTCCGTAAGGCACTTCTGTAGCGGCGCTATGAGGCACGCACACCGCGCTCCCAGCATAGTGACTTCCGCCGCTCTCGGTGCGGCCACTGATCAGAGAATCCACTAAAAACGCATTTCCTGACGGACTGTCTGAACATGACATTATTGTGGTGTATTTTGGCGAGGGGAGAAGATAGCCCTTTCTGGCTGACATTTCTTGTGCAAAACATGCTGGATATGATTAGAGGCACCCCCCTCTCCGCCGTGCAGACTGTAAAACCAATGGAAACGCTGGAAGACGGGCAGTCCCTCCCATTCCGTGGCTACGTAGCAGCCGGAGCCATATCTATTATGGAGCTGAGACGGAGAAAAAGGCAGCAGAGCAATCAGTGTGCTCCCTCACCTTGCCTTAATGCACCACCATTACCCCCTAGAAGGGGCGAGGTCCAGCATGATACAACGTTGAAAAATATATATATATTGAAAAGCAGCATTTCATAAATGTAATCGTTTAACAAGCTTTAAAATCCCTTCCCAACAAGTCCTGTCTTAAGACCTGATTGTCTGTTTCCCAGATTCAAATCAAATGTCACCACAAAGCTCATTAGGTGCAAAACAGAAGTATCAGATTCATAAAAAAAAATTAATACTCAAGTGAGAGTCATAGTCAAATGAAACTACAAAAATATAGTCTTAAATTGAGTTTTTTAAAAGCTGCAGAACCCACCAACAACGACAAACAATAAGAAAGCAATTGGACTTAGAGGTAATAAAATGTGTTTAATTGTAGGTAGAATTCGCCTCTAGCGAAATGACTTGGCAAAAAGCCGTTTTGGTGCATCCATTAGCCTGAAGACAGACTGGGCGCTTCCGCACTAAATGTAAAGGTGCTAAGATTAGTGTTGCCTGGAGATTAAGAGTACTGTTAAACATACTTTGTTCTTTCTTTACAATCTACAGAAACGGTCTGACGTGTGTCAATGTGTGTGTTGTGTAGGCTATATATATATATATATATATATATATATATATACACACACATACATACACACACAAACACTACACTTCTTTCACCTATAGTCACCTCGGCTACTTAGGTACAGAATGATTAAATGTTTATGTTTACTTTTGTTCAGTTTTGTTGTCCTTGTCTTTAGCTGTATGTTTTCTGTGCAAGTATACAGTGGGACTAACAACAAAAACAAAGTATTTGTACGTGTAGTCATATCTGGCATATAAAGCTGATTCTTGATTTTCGTTTTTTGCTGGACAGGGAACGTCTTTGAAATGGTCAACATCAAGTTGACTTCGTTGAACTGTCTTCTTATACCATTACTTTAAACATAACCATTTTTGATTTAAGATTGTGGACGAATATTGGATAATATAAATCTTGATTATGTTAAATTCAGTAAGATCAAACAAGCTATCTCCGTGCGTAAACAACAGAAAACCAATCCCTTGACACCAGTAACAAAAAGCAAATAAAGATAAAATAATGAAAAAAGCCTTTATAGAATAAATGATTTTCTTAACGACTTACTGCACCTTTTACACATTAAATTCTTGAAATGCCATATATAACTGCATATATAGTCATTTCATGTATTAGAGCCTGTTAGGCTTTGCGTTTCTTCTTCGTGATATATAAAACTACTCAGGATATCATTTTCCATTTCACACTAAAAAGTATTTTCTCAGATCTTTTTGAAATTAGGATTTGTAGTAATAATGGTTCCACTCCTGAGTTTTCACCAATTAATTAAGGATATGATATTAGTTAATATGTACCTATATAAATCATTACGCATTGCACAACAAAGGTTAAATCTTGATGTGCTTTCCTTCACAGGTTATATGAACAAATGTGTTTTTAAGAAAAAGCTGCCTTACAACAAATATAAATAAAAAATACTCAGTACAAAAAATATATATTTGTTAAAGTGCCAAAGTATTGATCGCGGCGTTGTGCAAGGAACAGGCGCAATGTGCCAAAGGAAAGCAGACATAAAGCTTGTCATCCTGTCGGTCCAATTTGAGGCAATAAGGGCCACAATAAAACTCTCCTTCCATCTCGTAGTGTCCTTGGCCATGTGCAGTCTATTGGTCTCTCCAGGTTGAAGTTAATCTCGGCCAGCTTTGCCATTACCAGGCCCAGGTGGCCGCTAGCCCCCCGGGTTTGTTTGCAGCCTGTTGTACTGAAATGAGGAAATTTCGGAGAAATTCATAAATCGAGCCCATTTAGGTTTTCAAACGCTCTGTCATTGACAGCTCATTTATGTACACTGGCTTAGATTTTTAGCGCGTTGACGGTGGACATTTGTCAAATGCACATATTTCAAATGACCTAAATGACTGAAAGTTGGTTGAGGGTTATTGATGCATACACGGAAATAATACAATATTGTATTTCAAAAGACAAAATATAATTTGTTGAAATATATAAAGAAAAGAGCATTTTCTCCAGCGTGAGAGTTTTAAAGACAAGGGCCGTACACCGAGCATTTTTTGCCCGTCTAGTAAATTCCCCCAAAACCATAAAATAATTCACTGCAGAGTTGACCTACTAAACAAAGTTTGTATTATCTTCCCCACAGTGGCATGTTCCTTAAGGGACATATGAGCTAGTTAGGAAACTAAATACATCCATTAATTATCTGTGCCCAGTATTACATTGTTTTGGCTTATACACGCACACACTTCATGGTGTTGTACTGGCATTGGGGCCTATCGATATCTTTGTGTTACAGTTATTAATTGGTGCTATTAAATCTTCATTTTCACAGCTGCCTGGCTATTATATCCCCAAAACAGTTCACTCTGACCACTGGCTTTGATCCGGCCCATATAATCGTGGCCGAAGAGGCCGTTTGAGTCGTATCATGTTCGTCCCGAGTGCAGTTATGAACAATAATGCGGGGTTTTATTACATCCAGCGGAAGCATTTATTTTTCACTAGAGACAAAGGAGAAAGAGACTCGGTCCACGTGCATTAAGGTCCAGAATAGTAACCCGCCACTTGGACTGACACCGAATACCCTCAGTGCAGCTCTATATCTGTGACAGGAAGGAAAATGAGACGCGGTTGCTGCCCTATCACAATCAGATCGACTTTTCTAAAAGCAGCTTGTATCCACTTGGCACGTACAGAGAATAATGTGTTTGGGAAGGACGTCAAATGTTGTTAGGGGATTCTTTGAAGACGAAGACGAGGAGGAGGAACGAGCATACAAGCCAGTTGCTGTGTTTTAAGATGAGCTGCATTAGAATGTGAACCATCTGAAAAATGAAAGCATATGTTTTGTATCCAGCACCGCTGCTTACTGTATCGTTAACATACTAACTGTATCCAATTTTTTTTTATAATTTTTCCCCAAATCCAAAACATTTGTGGTTGGACTGGACGGGGTTGTAGATCTCTCCAGGTACAAGCCGGGCATGCTATTCTTCAACCATTAAAAAGCTCAAGCTCAGCAAAATGAATAGCACATGCAGCATGAAGGCTTGGCACAGATGTGTTGCCTTATTAGGGCCCCCAGGAAGACTTGTGCACCAGAGAAATGTGGAGACTAAACACAAAACGGATCCCATCTCAAACTAACAGGAGTCGCATGCATGAGAAGAGTCTAAGGAGTGGACGTTCAGACGGTTTCTTGCAACAGAGAAAACTGTTCAAGCTTCAGCTTGTGTTGATAACACCTTTTACCTGCTTGCATTCGAGGTGAGTTTGGAGACGAAAATATCCACGGCCATGACATTGGTCCCAACAGCGCCGCCCAGTGGCAGAGGAAAGACTAATCCTGCGTGCAGCCGTCGCCACTAAACTGATCGAGCTGGATAAACCACACGAGGGGCAAAGCGTCTCAAGTGAAGTCGATGCAGCAAGCAAAGGCTGTTCCTATCCGTCCTCTCCCGGCCGTTGCTCTCGCCTCCTTGGTAACAGTTAATAACCTTGGGTCTCAGACGGTTTATTGCACTGCACTCCAATTGTACAAATGCCCCAGACTCAGACAGCTTTTATGGCCGCGTTGCTGCGGCAACGGGGAGGATGTCCCGTAATTAGGGACGGAATTCCAGCGCGCAGTAAAGGATGCGCAAGGCAAGGCCGGACTATGGCAGAGAGAGGCAACCATAAACTTCAGCCTCTCTCCCCGCGTTTATGGCCCTTTTGACTGTCATATATGAACGCCAATGCGCTGCGGCTAGCTCCCATAAACACAGTGATAACAGCAGCAAATATGGCGACCGTCGCCAAAGGAGACTGCTGTTGGAACAGTGTTTCCAAAGCCAATCAGCGTAATGACAGCTTGCACACACAAACGACAGAGAGCGAGAGAGAAAGAGTGAAAAACGAATAGAAAATAAAGTGTACATGGCGACAACAAATGTAATGGAAACGGATAAAGGTGGATCTGGATTGGTTCAATAACATATTTTTTCTTCAGTTGGAATGCAAGAGCTGCAAAATGTCGTCAATGGCTCAAAATATTGATCAGCTCGGGATCAACGTAATTGCCGCACAACAGGACAATAGTTGACAGCAGAGGAATTATACTTCTTTTTAGTTTACATCTATCGAAACCCATTCAAATGTAAGGTTATTGAAAAGCAATTAAGAATCAACAGATTCATTATTAAAGGTGTTACTTTATTAACTTTTATTTTAAAGGCTTAACATGAAGTGTATACTCTGTGTGTGCCTCTATCAGGCTGGACAGTTCATATTTTGTATGTATGTTTGCAACATTCGTTGGCACATGCTTGTGATAAAACTATTGCGAGTTGAATGTGTTTCGTGCGTAAAATGTTTCACATGAGGTCTCCTTTCCTCTCATCTCTCTGTATGTTTGCCTCAGCACCCACACAAGAAAGCATTCACACACACACACACACACAAACATACACACCCACACACACACACACACACACACAAGAATGCATGCATGCTACAGCTTGTGGGGGAAAAAACAATGACAAGGCAGCATTTTTTTTCTCAATGATCTTTTCATTTGTTTTTTTATTTGGAAATATAGTACAATACACAATTGGGCATACCAAGCAATTGATTCAATGCGATGACCCTGACCAGCATTGCCCTGTTAGCACACTTGAAAATGTAGCATTTTATCTTCTTTAGACAGCAAGTACCAAAGGATCACAAGT